CTTCCTCGCTGCCTTTCCTCCTCCTCATCCTCCTCACCATCCTCCTCCTCCTGATGCAACTCAATGGGCATCCTGCTAACGGGCATTGCACAGCGTTGCTTGTTCACATTGGTCATGGAGCAAAAAACCCCAGAAAACCCCAATTCCCACATTCCCGGCCCTGCTGGGCAGTGTAGGGATGGGCCGGTGCTGACCGGCGTTGCTGTGCCCCATTAAACCCTCAGCCAGCACCACCGGGTGCTTCAAACCCAAACCGGGGTGGGATGCAGGAGTGGGGAGTGTGGGGGGCTGCACCGGGACCCCAGCACACCCACGTCCCCCCGCCTGTCCGCTCGCAGCCGACCTGTTCGACATCCTGCTGCCCATGCTGAACATCTACCAGGAGTTCGTCCGGAACCACCAGTACAGCCTGCAGATCCTGGCGCACTGCAAGCAGAACCGCGACTTCGACAAGCTGCTCAAGCACTACGAGGCCAAGCCCGACTGCGAGGAGCGGACCCTGGAGACCTTCCTCACCTACCCCATGTTCCAGGTGACCCTGGGGGTGCTGCTGCAGCCCCACGCCGGCTGCTGGGGAGCAAAGCCCGGGTGAAGGTGGCCTGGGGCTGGGCCATGCGGGGTCCTGCGCTGCTCCTGGACCCGCTCAGGCCATCGCTGGGCTCCTCAGAGCTGTGGGCTCTGGGTGAAGCTTCACAGTTGTCCCATGCTGGAAGGGCACAGAGGGGTCCTGGATGGGGCAGAGTGGGGTCCTGGGCAAAGCCCCATGCGTTCCCCTTTTCAGTAGGAAGCCTTCATCACGCCCCCGAGCAGGGTGTCCATGGCCACTGTGGCTTTGGGACCAGCACTGGGGGGCAACTACAGCCCTCTGTGCCCCTCTCCGTCCCACTCCCCTTTGCTGTGGCCAGTGCCACGTGGCCAGTGCCCTGTTGATGATGCCCAACCGAAGTCCTGTTGGTGATGCCCCGTTGATGATGCCCCATGGCCGATGTCCCGCTCCGTTGACCGCAGATCCCCCGGTACATCCTGACGCTGCACGAGCTGCTGGCGCACACCCCCCACGAGCACGTGGAGAGGAACAGCCTGGATTACGCCAAGTCCAAGCTGGAGGAGCTCTCCAGGTCAGACCCTGCTGCCCATCCCTGCTGCGTTTTCCAGGGCTCCTCAATGATGAAATGTGAATTTTGGAGGGCTGGGAGGGCTCTGATGTTGGCTCTGCCATCCTCTGGGTGCTGGTGGGGCTGCCCCAGGAAGGGGCCGAGCGCCTCTGGGATCCCCACAGCCACGAATTGGCCGTGATTCCCCATTTCCAACCCCATCCCCCTGCACACCCTGGGGTGCTCTGTGTGCCCATGCTGGTGCATTGCAATGGTGCGATCCCACCAGTGCTGCTCGGTCCCTGGGCCGTCTGTGAAGAGTCCCCATCCCTTTTACCGCTCCTCAAGGAGCAGGGATGTTGGAGTGGGTGGTGATGGGGGGATCTGTCTGCCCTAAACCTGAATATTGGGATTTCTGAGAAAGAAGTGCCCGTGTTTTGGTTTGTACGGATCTGGAGGTGCAGTCCAGGTTTGGCACTGGTTACCCCTGAGCTGCTGGGTCTGGGTAGATGAAGATATTGCCATAATTCCCTCAAAACTCCTTCGGTTTTGGTCTTACCCAGTGAATCCCCCCATCCAGAGGGAAAACCGGGGCAGATCCCATCCAGGCTCCAATTTTCCCTCCTCCTCCCTTCAGGATCATGCACGACGAGGTGAGCGAGACTGAGAACATCCGCAAAAACCTGGCGATAGAGAGGATGATCATCGAGGGCTGCGAAATCCTGCTGGACACCAGCCAGACCTTCGTCAGACAGGGTAGGGTGCTGGTGTCCCTCGGTGCCATCGTCCCCCCCCTCATGACGTGGGTGCCAGGGTGGGCTGGGGTCCATGGCCAGCACCCCCCGGTCTCTGTGTCCCCATAACCCCCAGCCGGTGGCGCTGGTCCCCATCCCGTGCCCCAGTGCTGGTGATGGCAGAGCTGTGCCCGTGTCCCCGCAGGGTCCCTGATCCAGGTGCCGATGTCGGAGAAGGGGAAGATCCCGCGGGGGCGGCTGGGGTCGCTGTCGCTGCGGAAGGAGGGTGAGCGCCAGTGCTTCCTCTTCTCCAAGCACCTCATCATCTGCACCCGCGGCTCGGGGGGAAAGCTCCATCTCACCAAGGTACAGACAGGAGGGTTCACCTTCCCCTGGGGGTGCCGGGCTGGGAGCGGACGGGTTTATTTCATGTGGTCCAGCATTGCCAGCGATGCGCAGTCGTGGGCAAGGACATTGCGGGTTCTTGGTGTAAGAAACAGTCCTGGTTTGCAGCAGAAACCTCGCAGTTTCAGTGGAAAAGCGAACCCAGGTCTGTGCAGCGCTCGCCCCGGGACTTGTGCTTGTGGCGGTGGAAGTTTTGCAATTAATTGAGCAAGAGCCTTACGAAA